CTAGCTATTGAGTAAAATAGAAACAATCACCCTGTACCTATAGTTCTTGCAGTGATGAGTTTCGAATTTGAAAAAAACTGGGAAAAAATTAAGGAAAATTGTGCCCCAGGCAATTTTTTTTATCTTCCAAGGTCAAGCTGCCTAAATTGAAGGTTGAAAAGGAGAATCCGAACATATTTGTCACTTGAGTATGAATCTTTTTTCTCAATTATTCTTTCCATTTCCAACGAAGAAGAGTCATTGTCGATGTTTTAGACTGTTTACGATATTTATTGATAAAAATAATAAAATAATAGGATGCTGAAATAAGGTAGCGATACATACTCACAAAATACTCCTAATTTGATAAAATGTCTGTTCTGCGTGTTTTCCTTCTCTATGTTCAAGTATTCCGTCTTAAGACTAGTAATTTTTATTCCGATACAAACAAGATTAGAGCTCCTGTTATGGGAGCTTATAATAGGGGAATTAGGAAGTTGGATACACTAATCCTGTTATTGCTGCTCTCTTATAATGTATGCGGACAGTTAGTGAGCATTAAATACTTTAGCATATAAATTGCCTTGGCGTTGCTTATGAAAAGATTTATGTTCGCAAGATCACTCGCAGGAAACTTCAGCAACAGTTGAGATAGTCCAGAGTATTTCCTATATCTGCATACTGTTCCACCACACTGTTCCTGTATATCTTGGGCGACTGCATTATGTTGTCTTCTTAGTTGTACTACTCAAGAACAGTGGCGTAACTAGAATGTTTTAACCCCAACGCAAAATACATAAGGGGGCCCCCTTTCAGTCACAAATCACAAATAGTAAAAAAAAATGAAACAACGAACTGAAAAGGCATTATTTTTTTGATATTCTATCCAGTAACAACATATTTTTTTCATGAATAATAAAAAACTTCAAAATAACTTCAGATTTCCTGAGTAAAATGAAACTCAACGTATTCTTTCATTGAATAAAAACATCAACTTCAAATACCTTCAACTTTACATTCAAACTAGAATTATTGAACGATGAATGTTTTTTTTTCGGCTTACGCTTACACATTGCAAATTCATTTATCAAATCCCTCAGGTCTGATTTGTTGGCAGCTTCACTTTCGATGGAAAAACGATAAATAATTTAATCGCTCTTGCCCTATTTGATTCCTCAAATAACTTTTGATCAGTTTCAATTTACTAAATAATCTTTCAGCTGACGCAGATGTAATTGGCATGGTTAAAAATAATAATAGGATAATATAAACTTGTGGAAAGTCACACCACAAATTAATAATTATATTTCATTAACAATAAATCGGCAAAATTTTTTACAGACATTTCTGGATTTAACTCTGATCTCAACAATGTAACCATGTTAATAAATTGTAAAGACATATTTGGTGATATGATTCGAGAATATTTTTTTTTAATGTAGTCACACCTCTCAAGGATTTCAGACTCTGTTGAATTTATGAAATTTTTAGGTTGTAAGAATGAAAAGATATCACTCACTTTATTGAACCCTGTAAATTTATTTGTTAACTGACCGCTGACAGTCAGCGTCATGAGTCGCGCCCAGAACTAATGCAGAACATAGTAAAAATAATGTTTGCTTGACAGAAGTGTCCCTAGATTCAGTTGAAAAAAAAACAACAATATTAGGAACTGTTTCAAATATTCGCATATTCAAGTTTTCTTTTTCCTCAAGCTTGGGGGCCCCAACGCATTGCGCTCAATTGTCTTATGGTAGTTACGCCACTGCTCAAGAAGCTGTAGTACAGGGTATCCCAATTTGGGCACTTTTGCGGGGTATCTCCCTTATCAGTAAAGATAGAGAATTGCGGTTTTCGTGCAGTGTGCTACTTTTTTATGAAATTAATAATGGCGCAAGCAGAATTGTGATAGCTCTTCCGGTTATCGAGATACAGGGTGGAATTAAAAAATGTGCCAATTTTATTTATAGGAAAATGGTCGTCATTTTGAAAACCACCTATGAAACCTCTTTGCATTTTCAGAATTGTGCTTGTATTTGCTATTTTCTACGTCGAATTATAAGTAAAATAGGTTTGGTGTTTGTTGTTATTCATCATAATAATTGAGTTTGAATGATGTAATAAATAATTAAGGAATGAGAAATCAAAAAATATTATTTGAATTAATCATGCCAGAATTACGTCATTTGACGGTTGCTGAGGGGCAAACATTTTATTTTGTCAACATTAGTCATATTAAATCAGAATAATGTGGGATCGTTTTCCTTGGAATCCGAGTTGGTACCAGAAAGAATTCCATAATTTTGTTTGGTGAAACTGTTATTATATTGTAGATGTGGCAGGGATGGCCAGGGCTATGCTCATCAAAGGTAACCTAACAGATAGTTTGTTTGCCCCTCAAGAAACCATGTCAAAATCACGTGTTCTAGAATGATCAATTGAGTTTGAAAGTATAAA